CTTGGGTTCTGCAGACCTAGGAATGCATTCACAGCGGCTGCTAAAACTCCTTTCCTCTCCATCCTCACCTCGAACCCATGCCTGATTCAAGAGTGCAAAGTTGCCCCAGAACTTCAGAAACCTGTCTGTCACAGCACCCCAGGCGTGCCTTTGCCTTTTGTACGGCCATTTTCAGTTTTGGATGACTTTGTGACTCAGATTCTTAGTACAGTGGTACTTTGGGTTAAGAACTTAATTCGTTCTGGAGGTCTGTTCTTAACCTGAAACTGTTTTTAACCTGAGGTACCACTTTAGCTAATGGGGCCTCCCGCTGCTGCTGTGCTGCCGGAGCACGATTTCTGTTCTCATCCTGAAGCAAAGTTCTTAACCTGAGGTACTATTTCTGGGTTAGCAGAGTCTGTAACCTGACGTGTCCATAACCTGAAGTGTCTATAACCCGAGGTACCACTGTACTGGGTGAGAAAACCTCCCAGTATACAGCTGCTCTTCTAATGAGCGTGTTTTGGGCTGTGTACCAGATTATAGATTTTTAGTAACGTGGGAAAACATTCATCATGTTCCCCATTTTTGAGGAAGAGAGGTACAAAACGTCGCTCTGGCAGATTGTCCCAGTTATCAGGCTCCCTTTGACTACGTGTGTGCTGAATCTCAGCTTTCTAGGTCACATGAAAATACCTTAACAACTACAGTATATAATATCCTCCATCAGTCAGTTGCCAGTATATTACTTGGGGAGGTTTGCCTTCTTCAAACCTCCCTCGCTGCCACTGACACCCCTCCCCAAAAGTAGTTATTATGACCCCCAAATGTTAGCTGCCTTAGTTTATATTGATGTCTAAGACGATCTTTACTAATCGTTCAATGTTACTTCAAAATGTGGGGTTTTAATTGTGGTTTAATTGTGTATTTGTGACATTTTAAAAACGATGCAATCTGCTTAGAGACTTCTTTGAAGTACAAAGGTATATTTATAAATCACCTGGATAAATAAACAAATAAATGCTGTGGCAGGAGCCTTTTAAGAACAAAAAGTAGCCTAACCTTCCAGCAAACATGTGGCCTGGCTTGTTCTGTGATGGAATGCTGGGCTGTCCTATGAGATAAAATTCATGCTCTTGTTTCATGATGAGATATATATATAAAATCTCAGGTTTAAAGTTTCCTGGAGATCTGTAAAGTACCAGATATCAGTTTTCTAGGTGGCCTAGAATTACCTCAAACATCTCGGGATACACTGCTTGCCCTTTGTTTCTGAGGAGAGATTCGGCAGAGCTTTGCCTTTCAGATTTGTCTAAATATTCACCAAATGTCAGCTTTGTGAATTGTCCGGAAGTACCTTAACCATTCTGAGTCCCTCCTTTTACCAATGATTGATGAAGATGAGTCACCCATTATAATAACAAAGGCTGTCTTCCTCCCCCTGCTGGAGGCCGACAGTATTGCTTCACAAACCAACTGGTGGGACCAGCTTTTTCCATCTCCCTGAACGCCACACAAATATTTAACCAGCCCCGTTCCACCTGGCCCTCCAAGTTTGCTAATGTGGGAAGCTTCTGAATGAGGGAAGAAAGAAAAAAAGTCTTCCTTTCAACCAATCATTAAAAGCAAGCCTGAAAGGTATTTTTAACACAATAAATCTGTTCGCCTTCAAGGAGGGTTTAGTGTTGTTTTCTTCTGCCACCCATAAACACATGACTACCTTTCTGGAAGTCAATGTATACAAATGGGACCCACAAACATTCTCCATTCCTATCCCCATTGCACCCCCCCAAGCCAGCCATTCACTGTTGTGGGACCACTAATAATGTGCAGCGCTTACTGGTCTGATTTTGCCTGTGCTTTTATTCTAGAGTGGGGGGTGGGTTACTTTTGGGGTTTCCCAAAGACTGCAGACAGTCACCTGTATAAAACAGATGCCTGTTTTCCAATCATAGCTGAAACAATAAGCCAACCATCTCTTGCTCAGTTCTTGCTTAAGCTGGCGTTCTCAGACTTTGGGGGTTCAATCTCCCCCTCTGAGCTCATATTGACCGGCTCCCCCAATCCCCCTAATCCCAGCCCCAAACCATCTATTCCAGAGGTGAGGGTGCAGAGACTCTTGCACAAAGTCGTGTGCTTCTAGCCTACAGAGGCTTGTGGGTTGAACCAGATGACCTTTGGAGTCCCTTTACAATTCTCTGATTCTAGGACTGGCGTTAAAAAAGGACTAGCAAAATATACCCCACATATTTAAACCATGCATTGGAAAGTCACCACCAGAAAGCAACAGCTCACTCTCAGCTCCCTAGGTGAAGGGGGAGTGTTTTGCACCCACAAGGCCAATGGGATCAACTAGGGTTCCTATGCCGGGGGTGGGGGCATTCAACCCTACAAGGACGAGGCCAAGGGGGAGGGGAAATGAAGGCTCCACCTGCCTCAAGCATCCTATCATCTCCTGGAATGTCGCAAACACGCTGTCCCAAGAACTCTGTCCTGGAACTCGCCAGTGTTAATTTCTGCACTTGGTACCCTTTAAGCTAATATTATTATTTTTAATCATTTATTTATAACCCACCTATTTCATCAAGGAGCTCAAGGTGGTCTACATGGTTCTCTCCCCCTCATTTAATCCCCACAACGGCCCTGTGAGGTAGGCTGCTGGCCTAAGGTCACCCTGTAAACTACATGGCTGAAGCAAGTTCACAGGAGGGGAGAGAATTGCTCTTGCGCTCGAATCCTGCCTGCTGGTTTCCCACAGGCTTCTGGTTGGCCACTGTGAGAACAGGATGCTGGACTAGATGGTCCATTGGCCTCATCCAGCAGGCTCTTGTGGTCCATTTTTGCCTGCATTTTCTACAACGCAAATATTTCTGTTTTAATACCATGGCAAGCCAAGGACCCCTAAGGCAGGGACAGGGAACTCTTGATTCTCCTAACCATGTTAGGTTTTAGCTCCCATCAGTCCCAGCCAGCGAAGCAAATGGTTGAGGATGATATGAGTTGTAGTCTTAACAGGCTCCACGTCCTTGTTCCAAAAGATGGGTCCTGGTGCTTTAGTACTAAACCCTGAACATCCACAGGGAGGCTGAGCCTCCATCAATTTATAGGTGGATTGGTGCCAGTACAGCTTCTGCCACTGGGCTCTGCCTGGACCTACATCTCTAAACAAGAGCAACAGACTCCCCCTGCTTGCGGCAGGAGAATAAGAGGCTGGTTTGGGATGCCTCGGACTCAAAGTGCAAACCTCAAGCCACCTCTGCAGCTCATGAGCCTTCTTTGCCAACTCCATCCATAGACATCGCATTAAGTCTGTCAGTTTACGCAGTTGTGTTTGTGTGTTCTCTTTTCTTTGCACTCAAATTTCTCCACCGTCTTTCCACTTAAGAGACTGCTGGCTTTGCTCTACAGACCAATTTGATCATGTGGCTTGGAAATTGGTGTTTTAAGAAACAAAACCCCCAGCTCCTACAAGGGAATAATTAGGCAAATTGACGCCTTCCTGAACTTGCACCGCTGCTTCTTCTCCAATTGTTCTTCAGAGGGTGTTTGTTTGCTTTGCAATCGCGGGGTGGAGGCGCAGCTCGGGGACGCTGAGTCAACTCTGCGCTGGATGGATCCCCCCCCCCGAAGCCAGCTGGGGGCATAGTGAGCTCACACCCACAGAAAAGCTGAATCATACAATTGCTTGAAATGGATCCTTGCTTCCCCTCAGTTCACCCTCAAATCCCTCTCTCTTTTCTTGGCCCCCTCCCTTGCCAAAAGTGAGCTACAAATCAACTAGAATGATAGGTACAAATAAACTAGAACAAAGGCCTGGACTCAGCAACTGCACAGGGAAAGTTCATACAGCAGGGCCTGCCAAGCTCCTGTCCTATGTTGCAAAGAGAATGTCAGCAATGTATAGGCAACACAATGACCATGTACATACGCAATAAACAATCTTTTATATGGTGGGAGGATATAGAATTGCTTCATAAACCCATCTTATTTCGAATGAATGTATGTAAATGAAAATATCAATGTAATAATGTAGTCAGTGACTATATTACTACATGAGCACTGTTCCACAGCATTTGATATTTTCATACATTCATTCTATATCCTCCCACCACACTGACGAAGAATTCTACGAAACAGTAGTCTATACCCGGAATCACTGTTTCAGTGTTGGACATCATATTTGCTGAATACACAAAGCTTCACAGCTTGTCTTTCATCGTACAAAGTCTGATACCTCGCTTCCTTTAAAGATTTTCAGAGACTTTGAGACTAAAGATTTCATTCTGGACTTGTTATGGTTTGAAGTTATTCTATAAAAGGTTGTTTATTGAGCATGTACATGGTCATCGTGTTGCCTATACATTGCTGAGGCTCCTGCCCTAGTCAGCCTCCCCACCTGTCCTCTGGGACCCCCGGTGCTTTGGCCCACAAAAGCTAAGGAGAAAGGCCAGGCCTTTTGCTCCTTAAGAAGCCTGGAGACAAGGAGCCACCCACCAGCCAGCAGCTGCCCAGGAGTGTCTGCATTTTGGTCATTCCAGCAATTGCTGGACTACCAAGGAGAGCCGGAGTGATGTAGTGGTTAGTTTGCTCGACTGGGAGATCAGGGTTCAAATCCCCACTCAGCCTTGAAACCCACTGGGCAGCCTTGGGTACCAGTTGCTGCCTCTCTGCCTAGCCTACCTCACAGGGTTGTTGTGAGGATTAAATGAGGCCCGAGTGAATCCGAGAAAGTGCTGAATTGGCATTCCCAAACTAAGCCTTATGAGAAACGGTTGAGGGAGCTGCGTATGTTTAGCCTGGGAAAGAGGAGACTGACAGAAGATCTGATAGCCATGTTCAAATATCTCAAGGAAGATGGAGCAAGCTTGTTTCCTCCTCTACGCCCCTCCGCCTCCCAAAGTTCTGCTGCTTCGTTCTTGCTCTCCAAAGATGAGGACCCTCCCTTCAGATACTCCTGTCCGCCCTTCCTCCCCCCTTTGCTTCGATTCCAGCAGTGTTTAGATTAAAGAGACAAGGCAGGCTCTGAAAGATTCATCAATTTATCAATAAGCCTTGATTCCACATTTGCTCAGTGAAGCTCTGCCAGCGCTCGGCTCATGCCCAGAGGAGAGCAAACGCATCAGTCCAAACAGCCAGACTAAGACAAGCCGAAGGACTGTTGCTAATCCACCAGGAGCTCGATGCCAATAATCCGGGGGGTGGGAGACGCCAGCCCAGGAAGGCAAGTCCCCACCAGCAAGACATCAGCCAGTTGAACAACACATTGGGATGCTCACCCAGAACTTATCTGCCTCTCTGCCTCTGCATGAAACAGGAAACAGCTCCTAGTCATTCCAGGATGAGCAAGGGGACCACTGGCAGATCATGACTGAGCAACAGCCTGCTGCTCAGGGATTGGGTTGACTCAATGGAGAAAAGAATTGCCCTGAGATCCCAGGTGCAGAACTGCAACCGTAAGGGATTAGAGCTAGAGTACCGTTGGCACATTTCACCTACAGCTGCCGGCCTGCTTTTAGCAGACCCCTGCTTGCCCCGTTCCCATCTTGGCTACCTGTGGGATGATTCTCTAGGTTAAGGCAGCTAAAATGAGGCTGGTGCAATGCTGAAAACCTTCCTTCCCAAACGTGAGGCCAGGTCAGTCATCCCCACAGATCCTGCAGCTGCAGCAGTAGTCCTGTTGCAGAGGCCGCGACATTACACCAAGCAGGTAAATGCTCCTGTGTCCTGCTTGCTAACAGAGGGAGGTGCTCCATAAAAACAAAACTCTACTACGAAATCTAAATCCAGCTTACAGTACAGCACGAGGACAAGTGGTTCTTCCAGCAAGTTTTTCTAAAATGTGTTGCCTTTAACCCACTGCAACCCTTTTTCCTTGGGGGCCGGGGAGGTCAAAGCAGGGAGAGATGGTAGTCAGCTGGGCTCAGAGAGGTTGCCTCAGAGTGTAGCGTGGCCCAGATTCCAAGAAGCTGAAGTTGGGGATGAAGATCCTCACCCGCTGCTGAATCTGCAAGGTCCTCCTCCTGTCTCCTGCGGCAACTTGGCACATGGGCAGGAGAGGTCCAAGTAGCTCAGGGGCGGCTCCTTCCATGCCTCTGGGCAGAAAGTGCAATGGATCAACACAGCTTGCAGCTCCTTCCCAGCCTAGGAGTGCCGAGATGATGACCTAACTATTGCAATATCATCTTTGGACACACCTCTTAGGAACAATAATTTTTGGGCAGTGGAGGAGAATGTGCATCCAGCTCAAGAGGTAGAGTTTGCACCCCTACATCACTAAAGGACACCCTTGCTTTCCATGCAATCGCACGCCTGTTCTCTTAACCTTCGCAGGCTCTCTTGGGGGCACCTAGTGGGACACTTTCAACATCACCCAAAGCTGTACCCTCAGGCTTGATAGAGGGGGACCACCCGGTCTATGGGGCTCCTGCAGATGGGGCAGGTGCGGTTGGGGAAGGCCTGGAAGCAGCGGAAGCAGCAGCAGACGTGCCCACAGGGGAGCAGGACGCACTCGCGGAGGCTGGTGAGGCATATGACGCAGGCATTCTCAGGCGGCTCTTCCGACAGATCCAGACCGGCACTCTGGTGGCGCCGGAGGTTCTCAAACTCCTGCTGCTGTGCCTCCTGCTCCTGGTGCACCTTGTGACGGTGGTAAGCTCGGCAAAGGGCACGGAGGATGACAGCCGCAGCCGCCAAGCCGCACAGCAGCGAAGCCCACTTCCAGAAGCTGCTGACTGAGCGCAGGTCAGCCAGGATGGCTTCCCAGTCCCCCAGGCGCAGGAAGTAGCCGGTGCCGTCCGCTGGGGGCTGGAGGTGGAGGGAGCCATCCCGGTGCAGGGCGAGCTCGCCGATGCCGGTGAGGCTGCTCCCCACCAGGAGCATCTCTTCTGTCTCCAGGAAGCCCTTGGGCTTCTCCCCGCTCAGGTAGTGACTGAGCAAGTCCTTGAAGCCGTGCGAGGTCTGCTGGAAGCGCTCGTACACCGTCTCCACGGGCAGCTCGACGGCGTGGAGGGGCGACTCCACGCACACCTGCCCCGAGGCCTTGCCGCTGGGGGACGCCAGGACGAACGGCACCGTGTGGACTTGCTCCAGTACCACCCGCTCACTGTCCGTCCTGCAACGAGGTAGAGAGCTCTGAGGAGAGGGCAAGGCAGCCGAGGCAAGGCAGCCGAGGAAGCAGCCTTTGGAGCGGTCTGAAATCTCCCCCAAACAGCACTGACCACCAGGGGCATTCATGCTGCAACACTTCTGCTGGAATGCAAGGCTGCGCTGATCTAACCGTTTCTTGTCTGGCACATTCTAGCCTGCTCCACCCCGAGGATTAGGCAGGGCTGCAACCGACAGGCAATGGGCATCCGTATGAAAACCAGGCTCCCCATGAGCTGCAGCCACCAAAACCTTGTGATTTCTACATTGCCGAAAGGGAACGAATTCTGCACCAAGAATAATTTAAATCTGTAAGGTGCCTTGGTGGTGTAAAGTAAACAAAGTATGTTTGCACCTGCGTCCTTAGTCATTTTTTCTTTGCAAGTTATGGGGAGGCGGCATAAATAAAGGACACTTTATTCAGGACACTAAATAAAGCCTTGCTCACTAGAAATATGGCCACCAAATGATGCTCAATTGACTGTAAGGACATTTACACAGCCAAAAGGGCTATATTTCCCTTTTCTTTTTAAAAGCAGAGATTCTTAGGACACTGAGCTGTGGTACCTGGCATCCTACTCGGAAGGGTTTTATGCTCCCGTCCACTGATAAAGATATACCTCTAGCCCTGCCAAAAGCCAAATAGGGTCTTGCAGAATTTCTAGAAAAATGTTTAAAAGAAGGGCTGGGGGATCTTTTTGGGCTTTAAAGGCCAACTTTGGCAGGTGGGTGGATCAGCCCACCTGTCAATCACATATTATCATGATGTCACATGATTGACAGGTTGGTTGTCCCGTCCTCCTGCCAACATCCCTTGTGTTGCATTCCCAAGCACTGAGGAATCTACTCCTGCCTTGATAGGCCAGCGCACTTCCCACCTGAGGAAGGACCACAGCTCTGCAGCAAAGCATCAGGTCAAAGGGTTCAACGTGCAGCATATCTAGGCAGGGCTGGGAAAAGCCCTCTCTGCCTGAAACCCCTGAGAGCCCCTGCCAGCTAGAGCAGGCAGCCGATGAATCAACAGTTTGACTCACTGTAAGGGAGCTTCCTATGTACGCCCAATGCTCTCCTTGGGCAGCCTGATCTACAGCACATGCCAGCCAATGGGGCTGCCTCAAAACAGCTGCTTCCAAGGCTCCTCTCTCGCTTACCAGCTGCGGGCCAAGCTATTCCAGATCAGTCGGTGCTCCTTTAGCACCAGCCTCTCGATCACCCCCTGCAGTTCTTCATGGTATGGGCTGGTCAGAGCCGTCTCGACGGGCTGGACTACTCCTAAAGGAGAGAAGGAGACAGGGGTTCGGGAAAGGAAGGGCAGGGTGTGCGTTGCAGGGTCTGAGTCTGGCTATCAGTTTGGTATCACCAGCACTGCCCAGCAGCGCCTCTCCAGGGTTTCGGAGAGGAGACAATTCCCATTCCAAACTGGAGATGCCAGGGAATAAACTAGAGACCTTCTGCATGAAAAGCAGGTGCTCTACTTTTATTGCAACATCATTTTTGGACATGTCTCATAGCAACAACATATTGGGCAGGGGAGAATGTGTAATCCAGCTCACTAACCCCAAGAGAAGGAGATTGAATGCCTCCATCATTAAAGTACAGCCTCACTCTCCATGTGATTTACAGGTGTTTAAGAACCACCCCATTCCAACCCACTTAGATGGAACCCAAGAAATGAAACAGGGACTGAGAGAAGATGAAAGAATCAGAGAACTGTAGCACTGGAAAGGACCACAAGGGTCCTTGCAGTGCAGGACTCTTTTGCCCAACGCGGGGCTCGAACCCATGACCCTGAAATTAAGCGTCTCATGTTCTACCAACTGGATCAAGATTCCAGGCAATGCATATAGTAAGCCTGGGACTCCAAACAGAGACGCACCATTCAGTTCTCCCTCTCTGCCTGGTGTCCTGGAGGCAATTCCTGCTCACCACAGCTGACCATTTACAAACCTGCAATAAATCCCAACAGCAGAGATTTGCTGTTTCTCCTGGCAGAATTTGTGCAAAGAACTCCGAATGCAATAGAAAAGGGTTGAGGTGCTCTGATGTGGCCCCGATGGCTTCCAAAGCCAGGCAAAATAACCTCAGGGGCTCCTTACCTTCAATGGCAACATAGCCTAGGCAGCTGCTTCCTGTGGCAGAGAGGATGCTGGGAAGACTGTCGTTGACTTGAAGCTTTGGTGCTTCCTACATGGAAGAAGAAAAATGAGTAAGGGTTTAAATGGAAGAGGCAGTATAAGAAAAAACGTTAAGTCCCAAGTTCAAATCTAAGTTCTTTCCTGAGCTTCCGATTCAACAGTTCTAGTCAATTCTCTATGTCATAAGAACTGTATTTCTTATATTCATCAGTTTTCGTGTGCAACGAGCCTCTAGGTGAGAGACGATCCAATATAGAACAGTCATTAAAATATAGCAAGACACCAGCGTGTGGGAAAATGATTGCTTGTACATGAGAGCATGAGCAAAGTTCTTATTGTTACAGGGTGATTTCATAGCTAGAAGCATCCTTGGAGCATGAACAGCGCGTGAACAGCTCGTGCTGTCCTATATGATTGGCTAACGTAGCATAGCCTGATCGCTCGCATGGTCTAGTACGAAGGTCCTTATCTGCTGGCTAGAACAAATTGCTTGGCTTGTATTTTGTATCTTTCTGATTTCAGACAATAAAAGCTGTGCTGCATTAGCCCTAAGAGCAGCCATATTTCGGAACCTATTATGGTGTGAGACTGATTTTTCTTTGGATGCCGAGCTGTAACTCGACAATTGGTGCCCCGTGTGACTGCCTTCGGACTTCACGTTGTTTTTCATTATTCAGCACTCACCAACACGTCGTTCATCCACGTAGTGGATCCCTGGTGAGTGCTCCCGTGTGACTGCCTTCGGACTTCACGTTGTTTTTCATTATTCAGCACTCACCAACACGTCGTTCATCCACGTAGTGGATCCCTGGTGAGTGCTCCCGTGTGATTTCTTTCGGACTTCATGCTGTTTTACAACGTTCAGCCTCACCTCGCCCGGCAGGGCTGCAGACGCGTCGTTCATCCACGTAGTGGATCCCCGGTGAGAGCTCCCGTGTGAATGTGATTCTGGACTACGTTACGGACTTATCAGCACTTATCTCCGCCCGGACAGGGCAAAAGGCGCCTCCCTCATCCTCCTAAGGATCCCTCCGGTAAGTGCTCCCTGCTCTTTTTGCAACTCTTGCAATCATGGGAAAGTCTCTCTCTGCACCACAGAAAAATTTTTTTAAAGACCTTAAATTCCTTTTGGCCAGTAACAACCTTGCTGTTCGGAAAGCTGACCTTAAGTCCCTTATAAAAGCCCTGGACACTCACTGTCCCTGGTTCCCCCAGGACGGAAATTGGGAGTTAGACGATTGGAAAAAAATTGGACACTTCTTTCAAAATCATCCTCAGATTGATGTCAAGGTTTTGCATGCCTGGTGTAACGTCTACAAAGCTATGTCGTGCTTAACTCCTTCAAACATTCTTCTGGCTGCCGCAACAGCTTCTTCGCCCGCCCTCCCAGCTCCCGCTTTGCCTGCCTCAAACCTACCTCCTAAACCGCCGGACATTCTCCCTCCGGCTTCTCCCGTCACTCCCCTGCATTCTTCAAATTCTGCAGCACCCCCCGCTCTTCCACCTCCTCCGCCCAAGGCATTTGGCACCGCTTCTACTACTCCTCTCCAAGAATCTCTCCGCGCCGCTGCCCCATTGTTGGGTTTTGATTGTACAACTCCTAATCTCTTCCCTGTGATTGCTCCTGCCGCGCCAGGGGGAGGCTCAGCCCGGCACGACCAGTTTGATTTGAGATTCATAAAGGAACTGTATTCTTCTGTCAAGGACAATGGCCCTGCACCCCCAGCCCCTGTTATGCTAAACCAAACTGATGTTCTTGATGGCTTAACTGGCGAAGGCAATTTTCTTACTATTGCCCAACAGTTGGCCCTTGATCCCATGTATTGGACAGCTACTACTGCTGCCGCCCAAGAAGCTTTGTCCTCTGTTCCTGATGACAAGAATGAGCGCGGTGGCAGCATCAGACAGGGTCCTACAAAGCCCTATGGACAATTTGTCGATCGCTTGGATAACACTCTTAAGCTGCAAGTTCAGGACGTAGCAGCCCAAGAACTGATTGTCCGCCAGCTTGCGTATGATAATGAGGACTGTAAGCAAGCGCTGCGCCCTTTGATGACAACACCAAATATAGTCATTGCAGATGTGCTTAAAGCCTGCCAGTCAGTGGGCACTGAGATGCACAAAGCTCGCCTGCTAGCCACGGCTTTGTCCTCCACCGTGCCCCAGAATCCTGCAAAGGATAAAACCTGCTTTGGATGTAGCAAAGTGGACTATTTTCGTGCGCAGTGCAGATCTATCGCACAGCAATGTCACTCCAGCACAAAGTGCCCCATCTTTGATACAGGCCAGGACTTGTCAATTTTCTGAAGCACATCTTAGATCACATATTGGTCACCCTGGTTATTTGGCAACAGGAATTTTACGACTGCTGAACTTCATTTCTGGAAGGAAGAAATATTGCAGCGTCCTTTAGTGTCTTACAGGTTGCTTCCAGATCCACAGTGGAAGGGTCCAACTTCTTTGATTTCTTGCGTTCGACCTTGGCGCTCTTCTGTTGCCTCGTCTTCGCCCAAGGAGACACCAGCGCCTTGAAACTGTATTTTACGCTGTTTGCCGGTGATGACCTCTCACCTGACCTCAACCCGCATTGCAGTTGGAGACATCGCCATATTGATGTGCCCTGGATAAAGTCACCTTCCACAGCTGTTCCAGTGTTTCCTGGCACGTTGAAAGGCCATCTTCAACCCTATCGCATTGGCCCCCCTTCCCCCTGGGAAGCCACCGTTTCTACCACTTATCGTTACAGTTTTGCCGCCTCTTGTCTGGGAAATGAACCTGGCTTTGAAGGATGCCCTCGTCAGACCGGCATCGCTTGGGTTTTGCCCCCCAATAGCGACCATCCCATCTGTGTCACCACGTTTCATTGGGCTTGGACTTTTGACTCAGCAGTACAAGGAGCAATACATCAGACTTATTTACAGCAAATGGGCTCCTGTATCTGCAGAAATGGCTGTGTGGCTTCTCCTGGATTGTGGTTTTTACATGCCAATAATCGAGCCACGAAATATCACGCAGGTTGCTCGGAAACAGCTATTGGAATACTTTACCATTCTCACCCTTATTGCCCCCCGAGCAACCAATATGGCATCGTCCTGAGTGGCCCCATAATTCCACTTCACACGGGTGGAGCCTCTCCGTGAACTTTGTAAAACGCCGCTTTCGTCGTGCTGCTTTTTTGCAGAAGGCCAGGAGGCCTGAACTTTATCATCAGATTTGGACTAACAATACTTACGTTAGAGACATTAATCATTTTGCTTCTATGCTTAACCTTTCTGATTGTTGGATGTGTATGCATATCCCTCCTCAATCAAAAAGATCTGGCATTTTATTACATGGTATTCCTATAAATGCTTCATATAAGATTAGCAATAATATGAAGGACAATCGCATAAGCTTACCTCCTGTATTTCTATCGCTTGTAGAATTAGCTCCTTATTGTTTTCATTTTAATCACAATAGCAAAAAATTTTTAGGTCATTATCCGTATTGTAATTGGACACATGAATACATTAATGGATCTTCTTGTTTTCTTAATGTTACAACCATGAGTGGCAGACCAAAGGTTTTAATTAATAATGTCACAACTTACATGACCTATGAACAACAAGCTGCGTGTAGAGACTTTTATGTTTGGTTCGACTGGATGAGAAAGAGCAGCAGAACTACATGTTTGCTTCAATCTGATTTATGGTTATTTTGTGGCACACGTGCCTACAAAGAAATCCCCTCTGCCTTTTCTGGTACTTGCACGTTAGGTATAGTAGTACCCTTGGTGTATAAAATAGATAAGCTCCCAGCGGTCCGTTTGCGTAACAGAAGGGAAGTACTATCACCTATTTCTCAATATACAGGGACAGCCATCTCTAGGTCCCTTCTGCCTTCTTTAGGTGCAGCCATGAATTACCGTGATTTGCATAAATTGGCAAACTGGACAGAAAATTTGTTTAATTCCACCATTTTGGCTTTAAAAAATGATTAACAAAGAAATATCAGAAATAAGAAATGTAGTTCTTCAACATCATTATGCTTTAGATATGATCCTTGCTTCTAAAGGTGGAATGTGGGAAAATGATTGCTTGTACATGAGAGCATGAGCAAAGTTCTTATTGTTACAGGGTGATTTCATAGCTAGAAGCATCCTTGGAGCATGAACAGCGCGTGAACAGCTCGTGCTGTCCTATATGATTGGCTAACGTAGCATAGCCTGATCGCTCGCATGGTCTAGTACGAAGGTCCTTATCTGCTGGCTAGAACAAATTGCTTGGCTTGTATTTTGTATCTTTCTGATTTCAGACAATAAAAGCTGTGCTGCATTAGCCCTAAGAGCAGCCATATTTCGGAACCTATTATGGTGTGAGACTGATTTTTCTTTGGATGCCGAGCTGTAACTCGACACCAGCGGATTGCAAACATTTCAAAATAACACAGCTAATCGGCAAGGGAGGAAAAAGTATCTGCACCAGTGCAATAATATCAAAGCTAAAAACCCGAATGCAAGCTAAAGCTAAACGCCATCAAATTATACGGAGGCTGAAACTGGCAACGTTATAAATGTTAAAAGGCCCAGAAAGAATCCAAGCCCCCACCATCCTCCATGTTAGAGTGGGATGGATTGACATGGGGGTGTCCCTCTACCCACCTCTGCCAGCAGAAGAGCTCTGCCATGGCAGGAAGCCTTGTCACCAAGGGCCCTGGCGCCCCAGTGCACCCAACTAATGGCAGATGAGCAGAAAGTGCAAAAAGCTGCCTGTAACGAGCGGAAACCCCTGGAATAGGATGTGACGACGCCAGTACAGGGTCCCTAGTGTCCTGTGTGAACTCAGATGCTGTCACATAGTGGCAATGTGCCTGCACCAGTCCTCTTTGTTACACCAGCCTGGGAGTTGGCACAACACCTCCATCGTTCAGCCTGGACACTGAAATCCAGCTCCGAGGGCCTTCTGGCGGTTCCCTCACTACAAGAAGCAAAGTTACAGTGAACCAGGCAGAGGGCCTTCTCGGCAGTGGTGCCTACCATGTGGAACGACCTCCCATCAGATGTCAAGGAAATAAACAACTATCTGACTTTTAGAAAACATCTCAAGGTAGCCGCGTATAGGGAAGTTTTTAATGTTTGATGTTTTATTACACTTCTATATTTTGCTGGAAGCCGCCCAAAGTGGCTGGGGCAACTCAGTCAGATGGCTGGCATATAAATAATAAAATGGTGGTGGTGGTGATGATGATGATATAAAAAGGGGCATTTATCCACCCCCACTCTTCTGCTCTGGCCAGGGTGAGCCACAGGACTGCAGGTGTGGTGCTGGCTGGGCTTTTTGAATTTTAATTTATTTTAATTAATTTTGGGATGCATTTTAATTGACTGATTGCTTGTTTTTATGCTTATTGTATTATTTATATGATGTTAGCTGCTCTGAGCCCAGCTCCGGCCGGGTAGGGTGGGGTACAAATATTATTATTATTATTATTAATTATTATTATCATTATTACTCCATCAAGGGGTCAGGATTGCAGCCTTGAAAGGTCTCCGTCCAGGACCAAAGTGGCATTAAAGTAGGTATCAGGAGAGCCTCTTTAGAGACAGAGTTCCATAAATGGGGGGCCAGCACCAACAAGGCCATCTCTCTCATTGCCACCCAAGCCATGTAGGGCTTTAATGGTTAAAAGCAGCACATTGATTTGGTGCTGTGTGGCTTGGGAACTAATGGACCATCTCTCCCTGTACATTCCTCCCCATGCCCCAAGGTCATCAACGGCAGGGATGGGGAGCCTGCGGTCCTCCAGAAGTTGCTGGACTACAACTCCCATAGTTCCTAACAACTGGTCATGTGGGCTGGAGGTTATGGGAGCTGAAGTCTAACAAGATCTGGAGTGCCACAGTCTCTCTAACCCTGATCTATGCAGATTTTTCTGCGAGTGCCACCTTAAAAGCTGCCCAATTCACATTTCAAAACTTCTCTGCTAAATTTACACTTCAAAGCTACCCTGCTGGTTTAGGCCAAAAGCCCATCTAGCCAAGCATTCAGTTTCCAGCAACACCCTGCAAGTTGCTTGGCAGAATTCTACCCCCCTGTGAATTTGACCAACCCCCTTCCAAAGCCATCAAAGCTCATGCCCATCCCAAAATCTCATGGTAGTGAATTTTGCTCAGTTGGTGGAGCATGAGACTCTTAACCTCATAGTTGTGGGTTTGAGCCCCACGTTGGGCAAAAGATTCCTATATATGAAGACTAGATGATCCTCATGGTCCGTTCCAACTCTACACTTCTATGCTGTGCAAAGGGATGCTATCTTGTGTCTGCCCTGAAGTGACAACCATTGGGAAACCCTTCTAACCACCCTGGGTTCTAGCACTCCACTCCCTCGAACTCCAGATACAATATGTGGATAAATACCAGACTACTGTATCATATAGTACTATGGTAAAGATGATTGAAGCATCATGGGAAATGCTTTGAATACTTGAGACAAGCTGTATAGATGCTAAATATCACTCTGATCTGTTCTCCCAAGAGCAAGGGAGAAGCAGGATGTGCAACAGCGTACCTGGATCTTGGTCACCACCTTGGCTTTCTTCCTGTGTAGGTAATAAAAGAGACCAGAGAAGGCCAGGCTGGATCCTAAACACACCAGCTCTCCTGGTGTCAAAGGCAAAGTATCCATCAGAGCTTCTTCCTGACAGCTGGAAAAGAAGCGAAATCAGATACTGAGTTACATAGGAACAAGGAAACACCTCTCCCACCTAGAGTGATTCTTGGACATGGAAGTGTCCAGAAACACGGAGAACAAGCACTGTCTGAATAACACCAGAGAAAGCTGCCTTCTAGAGTCATCAGAACACTGGCCCATGTAGCTCAGTGCTGTCTATACTGACTTGGAGAGACCCAAGATCAAACATGGGACTTTCCCCCTCTATGCTAAATCTGCCTAGCCCTTTAAAAGGTACCCCTGCCCATATGGGCCAGTCTTGCCAGACTCTAGGGTTGTGCGCCCATCTCACTCAAGAGGCCGGGGGCCAGCGCTGTCCAGAGACACTTCCGGGTCACGTGGCCAGCGTTACATCGCTGCTCTGGGGAGCCAGAGCCGCACACGGAAACGCCATTTACCTTCCCGCTTGTAAGCGGTCCCTATTTATCTACTTGCACCTGGGGTTGCTTTCGAACTGCTAGGTTGGCAGGCGCTGGGACCGAACGACGGGAGCGCACCCCGCCGCGGGGATTTGAACCGCCGACCTTTCGATCGGCAAGCCCTAGGCGCTGAGGCTTTTACCCACAGCCCCACCCACGTCCCTTGCCTAGCCCTTTATAGATCTGTAAAATCACTTAGATTATCTGGGGAAATTCCACTCACGGCACCACTATACCATGAAATGCCCTTCCCTCTGTAATACATGAAGACTGGACCCACAAGGTCAGGTACCGTTTTTATTCTCTCGAACATCCACTTTCATTTTTAGATGGTTCCTTTACTGCGGCTGTTTTCAGTGGCTTCTATTGTTGCTTCTGTATAGTGGCTTCTATTGTTGTTGTTCTCATGATATTGCCTATCACTTTTATGTTGTACACACTGCTTGGAGATGTTTTAAGCGGTTTACAAGCACAAATAAATAAATAAACAAATAAATAAAAGCACTGCAAAACTCTTGCTGACATGCCGCCCTCCGCTTTATGCAGAAAGCTGGTCACATGACAAGGGAGGATCACCCAGGCCGAGATACCGCTTTATCAAGTCTGAACAAGGAAGAAGGCAGTGCCAGATTGATTTTTATGAAGCTTTGCTTGGCGTCCTATGCTCCAGTCAGTGTCCCCTTCAGCTGTCCTGCTGATATCAAGGACACCCAAAGGGCAGCCTCTCCAAGATGAAAGCAGGATTTCTGGGAGGTGGACAGGAATGAGAAGTTCAGCACTACTGGTTCAACACCTCCGTCTTTACTCCGCAAAAACACCTTAGACCGGTGACCTGCATTTCGTTCATGAGCCACATAAGACACCTTGGATTGCATTCTACAAAGTTCAACTCGGAGCAGAAATGAACGAACCTACACAATGTTCAAATTCCCCACTCAGTCACCAAGTTCCCTGGGCTAGTCATTGTCTCTCAACCTAGCCTACCTCACAGGGCTGTTGTGAGGACGAACCAGAAGGGGGACAACCAAGGACGCCACCTTGACCCCCCGGGGGGGAAAGGGTGGGATATAATTGTAAAATAAATAAGTTGGCTGCTGACTTCAAAGGGTCTACCCAGCAGGGCTGGCCTTGGCGTGTGGAATAGAGAAATCTAACTGCTGCACCAGGAAACTACTTGCTCCAGAGAAGGGAGCAGAGGGCTGGTAGGCCCTGGCAGCAGAGGAGGGCGCCACAATGCTTGCCCACCCAGGGAAAGGGAAGCCCCTCCATGCCCAGCCCTGCCCCCCACCCGAAAAACACGTGCTCCGAGGCACCCACGCCCCTCCCCTCCACCCAACTCCGCGTCCAGGATCTGGGTTCAAATCCCGCCCCAACTCAAGCCACGAAGCTCGCCGGGCAACCTGACAGCCTGTCCGCCTAACTAACCCACCTCGCAGGGTTGAAGTGGGAGGTGAAAGGGAAACGAGACAGGTGGGGTACAAAGGCGACGCCGACATGCAGGTGCAGGTACCCGGCGGGTCCCGGGCCCACCTACCTCCTGGCGCGAGAGCGGTCACCTCCATCTCCGCGGACCTCTTTCCCAGCGGAACCAAGCAACGCGCATCAGATCCCCGGCCGAGCTGCCCAGTGCGTTACACCCATGCCGCTCCGCCCCTCGCCGCGGTGGCACACGGGAAGCGAAGTCCAGCGGGCCTCAAGCCCTGGTGGCGACGCGGCGAGCGCCTCCAGCGACGGAGACTACGACTCCCGGCATTCTCTGCATCGCCCAATGGCAGGCATCGGCATACGGTAAGTACCTTCCGATTCGCTCCGGTTACCTGGGACTACAAATCCCATCAGGCATAGCGGCGAGCTCAGCAAGCATTTAAATGGCTTTGACAGCGATTTGGAGGCGTGGAAATGGACGAGGGCGACGGGAAGGTTATTTTTTACCTTGCCCGGAATTTACCCCGTTTATCCGAGCTTGCACCGTGGTCTGGCAGAGGAGTTTGTTGCATTTAATTATCCTTCACCTGCTAGAAACATTCCTGCTTTAGAAACATTCCTGCTTTAGAAACATTTAGAAACATTCCTGCTTTAGAAAATTGAGGTGGTTTTGATCTGCTTTAGCATTTCAATTTTTTGTATGTTTTTAAAGTACGCCTGCAATCCCCACCCCTTGTATTTTCTTGTCCTATTTATTTTTTTGTAAGCCCCTCTGAGGTGTTTTTTTAAAATGTACTGTCAAGCGGTGTATACATTTTATGAAATAAATAAAAACAAATAATAAATCAATTATTGTTAAAGCCATTCATATGCCAGTTTAATGTCATGCCCTCTCTTATTCTAGGCTGCATCAACAGAAGTGTTGTGTCAGGATTAAGAGCTCCCTTCAAACTATGATTCTATCTAGTTGAAATTAATGCTTCGCAGGTGTTTGGACTAAATGACCCTTGAGGTCACTTCCAACTTTACAATTCTGTGATTCTAGTGTTCCTCTATTCTGCCTTGGCCACACCCAGCCTGGAGTTCTGTGGCCAGTTCCGGGCACCCTAGTTCAAGAAGGGTGTTGACAAGTTGGAAAGTGTGCAGAGGAAGGTGACCAAGATGATCAAGGGTCTGGAAACCAAGCCCAATGAGGAACGGTTGAAGGAGCTTCATATGTTTAGCCCGGAAAAGAGGAGACAGAGGTGACATGATAGCCTTCTTCAAATATCTGAAGGGTTGCCATTTGGAAGATGCAGCAAGGGTAGGACCCAAACCATTGGATTTGAATGACAAGAAAGGAAATTCTTACTAAACATTAGAAAGAACTTTCTGACTGTAAGAGCTGTGGTGGACTGTCCTTCATTGGAGGCTTTTAAAGAGAGGTTAGATGGCCATCGGTCAGAGATTCTTTAGCTGTGATTCTTGCCTTGCAAGACCCCTTACAACTCTACAATTCTATGATTCTATGTACTCTGGAAAAGAAACATACCTAATAATTACTATAAGTAAAATAACAAAATATGGGTCTGATGCTGCATGCAGGCTACTGGTGTCATTAAACCACATAACTTGTAATGTTATGTGAGGAAGGATCCAGATAGATAACCGTGGGATGCTGCAACACCCCCCCAACACACTCACCAGTGCAAAAATACCACTGAAGAGAGTGGGCATTTTCTGACCAAATGTGCATCGGGTATATGATGTCATTGACTATCACCATTATCCCACCCCTTTCCTGCCATTTTTTCTTACCACAAAAATTCCTTCCTTCTCACTTTTTCGGGGGGAGCATGCTTGTTATTCAAGTGTGTCAAATCCACTTAAACTCTGCAACTTAAATTTGCCCGTATATGATTGACAGGGACAGGCTGGAAATGACCTAAGGCTCTACCTACTGTAGAGCAATGCCTACTAAGCATGGCCAGAGCTCAGTGATAAAAGCATCTGCTTTGTGATACAGGAGGTCCCAGGTTTCCAGGGCTGGGAAAGACTCTGGAGAGTCACTGCCAATCAATGTGGGCAATATTGAGGCCAATTGTCTAGGGTATGCTCCTTATCCCAATTTCTAGCCTAAAAGTAGGAGGCTGTGTTTGCAAGTTTCATGAACCTTCTCTCTCCAGATTTCATTTTTCACCAGACATTATCCAGGACCACTTTGAAATAACCAAGCGGAAAGTGCTTTTAATAATTAAATACACCAACAGCATCCCCCCTCCCCAACACACACACACACACATACACACACACACATTCTAATCCAAGGCACTATTCCCCACCAAGCTCGATAGATGGGAAGCAAAAGTTTGGAAAACCTCTAAGCCAAGCTAGTTTCGGATCGGTAATGATCCTGGAAAAGGGGTGAAAGGAAACATCTCCGAAGTGATCTGGTGGGTCCCTCCCTCTCCCGTCTCTCCTGGGATCAGTCTCCTTAACGCCCAGCTGCTGCGTGGATTCGTGTGCTTTCAACAAGGTGGTCTGGATCTGCCCAAGGGATCTGGCGGCAAGAGGTGGGGATTTCTCTTTGTGAAGGAGTGGGGTGCTTGGTAGGTGCAACACTAGCCAGAAAGAGGCTCATCATTCCACAGTGATTTGGGTGGGATTGTGCACAAGTGTGGGTGGTGCGGCACCTCCCTCTGCTGCACAATACCGGTGAGATGGCGCCATAGCCCAGGCTAGCAAGAGAGGAAGGTGTCTGCGCCAGAGGCCTGCTGCTGCTTTGGATATTTGGCTTTGTAGGAAAATGGGAGAGCCACATCCCTGCACTCGCTGTTGCGGCCAGGTGCCCATACTATGGTAAAGGTAAAGGGACCCCTGACAATTAGGTCCAGTAGCGGTTGACTCTGGGGTTGCACTCTCATCTCGCTTTACTGGCCGAGGGAACCGGCATTTGTCCGCAGACAGCTTCCAGGTCATGTGGCCAGCATGACTAAGCCGCTTCTGGTGAACCAGAGCAGCCCACGGAAACACCGTTTACCTTCCCGCCGGAGTGGTACCTATTTATCTACTTGCACTTTGACGTGCTTTCGAACTGCTAGGTAGGCAGGAGCTGGGACCGAACAACGGGAGCTCACCCCGTCACGGGGATTCAAACCGCCGACCTTCCGATCAGCAAGCCCTAGGCTCTGTGGTTTACACCACAGCGCCACCCGTGTCCCCCATACTACGGTATAGGCATACAAATCCTAGCTACATTGCACACCCTTGCGCTGCATGGGAAAGCCACTGGCTGAAATGGCTATTTATTTGTGTGTTTAAAAAGAGAGATAACGACAATGAAGGATAGATCTGCTTTTAGTTAAGTGGGACCTCTCCCCATATGAACTGACCCAGACCCTCTGATCATCATATGAGGCCCTTCTTCGTGTGCCTCCTCTGCAAAAGGTTCTGGAGAGCGGCAACATGAGAACGGGCCTTTTCTGTGTTGGCTCCCCATTTGTGGAACACTCTCCCCAGGGAGGCTCGCCTAGCACCTTCATTATACAGTGGTACCTCAGTTCCCAAAGGCCTCCGTTGTTGAATGTTTCAGTTATTGAATGCCAAAAACCCAGAAGTAAATGCTTTTGTTTTTGAACATTTTTCAGAACTCAAACATGCGACGCAGCTTCCACTGAGTGCAAGAAGCAACCAGTGGGAAGCTGCGACTCAGTTTTCGAATGTTTCAGAAGCCGAATGGTCTTCCGGAACAGATTGTTTGAGACCTGAGGTACCACTGTATATCTTTAGGTGCCGGGTGAAAGTGTTTCTCTATAACCAGGTTTGCAGCTGATTAAATGATCTTCAGCCTTTTAAATGTATTTGTTGGGCTATTGGGTTTCTTTTTGTTTTAATAGGTACTTCGTGTTCTCATTTTGTATTTGTTGTTGTTGTGAGCCACCCTGGGATCTTCGGCTGAAGGGCAATATACAGATATAATATAATAATTTCCATGTTGAGCCAGTATACCTCAATGCCAGGCATGGGTTGCTGCCTTCATGATCTGCTAAGCTCCCTAGCCTGCTAGAAATAGAACGCTATCCTGGATGAATCCTGCAGAGGTTGGATGGCCATCAATCATGGATGCCTTAACTGAGATTCATGCATTGCAGGGGGTTGGACTAGATGACATCTGGGGGGCCCTTCCCACTCTACAATTCTCTGATTCCATGCTCTGATGCAGCCAAAATCTTCCGACGCACCACTCCCTGCTCAAGCTTCAAAGGCTCGTTTGCTATACCTGAAGCTTTCATAACTAGTCCCGCTACATGGTTGGGAATTCCTCGACTGAATCAGCATTGCCGGCCTCCAAAGAAAACCCCGCGGTATCTAGCTTGGAGGTCAAGAACCTGCAGCCATCCAGATGTAGCTGAACGACAACACCCCCCATCACCCCAGACTGTTTGGCCCATGCAGGCTTGGGCAGATGGGGGTCAGAGCCCAGCAGCACGAAGAGACCCACAACTTCCCCACTGCTAGTCGAAGCGCATTAGTAGACGGTGGTACCCTCCTTTGCCTGGCCACCCCAAGACCCCCCCCCCACCTTTAAAAGTAGCAGTTTACAAAGACCAGGGGGTCCATCCTCTCTGCAGCTGCTGCAAGCAAAACAAAAGAGAGCGAGAAGCCAAAGGCATTGGGGCCAGCCTGGTGGGGTGTGGAGGAGGATCAGGGAGACGTTTCCTGGAGAAGCCAGAGGCAGGAGAGCTATAGCTGAAGGAGGAGAGCTGGAGATCCTTCGCAGAATCCGCGGAAGATGGAGCAGGTGGTGGGGCGAGCTAAGAGAAGTGAAGCTGTGCTTTTGCACACCACCCCATGAAGCGGGCTTTGGGCGCGGGGGGGGGGAGTTCACGTTAAGCTCACCTTTCTCCTAGGGCCGTAAAGGGGACCAAAGCTGATGAGGCAAAACCGCCAGTAGCACCCCAAAAATGTGACTGCCGGCCCCTCCCCCCCCCCCATTGGCTGGGTTTTGAGCACAGGCAAGTTGTGTGTATGTACAGACTCCTGCCAAGGTCAGCCTCTCTCTCTCTCTCTCTCTCTCTACCACACTTCGCAGTGCTTCCCAGGGTTCATGAGGGAGCCGACGGGGCATTTAAAGTGCTCTACAAAGTCCCGCGAATTGCTGAGGGTGCCGATGACGCGGAACTTGTCCGGGCTGTGCGGGTCGGTCACCAGGCCCTCGTGCGAGCTCTCCGGGGTGCGCACCGAACACCAGACCTGC